CCCCAAAACCCCAAAACCCCAAAACCCCAAAACCCCGGAAACATCATTTTTTATTGAAAATATTATGCAAAAGGTGTTAATTATTATACCATATCCCTTATGCAGGACGATAATAATATAAAATCCAAGAAGATCTTCCTAATCCGGAAGCAGCCTGACACTTATTATAATTTATTGAAAAATGAACACGAAATTGTCATTCCAGGAGCCCCTGAGCCCAGGCCAGTGACTAATTTGACAAGAGTAATAAACAGAAGATTAAAGCAAACAGCCACTTTTGACTCAGAATGGCAGGATATGGTGCTGATAAGATTTTGAGTTCAAGTCAAAAAGCTTATTTTTGAGGATAGATTCCTCTGGTGTTCAAAATTTTATCAAGAAAGTACATTAAAACCATTCTGATATCAGCTGCTTCTTGACAAGATAGGCCCTCAGTACCTCAGAGAAATCGGCGACCAAGAACAAAGCAGACTAATTGACACTTTGTGAAGAATTATTGATGTAAAATGCCAAGAATTCAAGCGTATCCATGGAATAAAGCATATAATGTATGACCAAAGAACCCAGAGAAGATGCAAACTCCTGAACTCGAAGGCAAGCAAAGATGGCTCCAAAGGAATAAGGATAAAGCTTGTCATTGACAAGCAAGACCTGGAACTTATATACGATCCTTTTTGAAAGTATCTTTCTCCTGAGACAGCAGCAGAGATATTCCTTAACAAATCTGGATTGAATATTTACCTGAGAAACATGGTTGCTTATTGTATTAGAATACAGACTTCAGAAAATATCTTACAACAAGGATTTGAAGAGATGAAGAAAACCAGTGATGAAGAGATAGAGCAGATTGAGAGGCAGATCAACCAGACCAAAATTGTAAGTATTTAACTGACAATTTTAGGCTAAAATAGATCTACTACAAGCAGAGGATGAAGCTGATGATAATTCTAGTAGAAGAGGACGTAGGCCTAAGTACGATCAAATCCATGATGCAGATGGATTCAAGGATATAATAGAGTTTTCAGAGTCCTCTAACAAAATTCAGCATGATATTTTCATTGACAAGCTGGAACCTTCCGAAGACCAAGATGATCAGAGTATATTAACTGAGGAATTTTCTAAATTACTAAATACTCATGATGAAGATTCTGATAATATAAACAACTTAGAAGGAATGTTTGATCTCTTGCCAAAGGACATACAATATGTAGACCCATCGAAGATTGATGAGAACGAAGCGAACGACTTGAGTACAGACGCACTGATGCCAATCAGCATCGACCTAAACCCTTTGAAGAATCTAAGCACCAATACAAAAAATGAAGATGATGCTGTTATTGGAAGTGAAAGTGAACCCAATGATGAACAGAAGAAAATCAGAGATTTGATCAAGCAGAACACTAAGAAAGATTTTAGAGTAGTTGTTCCAGGGAGTAAGAAGAGAACTGAAGTCTTGCAAGAAATCAGTAATAATCCTAATAGAATCGAGACTCAAGAGTCTAACTTATCCAATACTGAAGTTGAAACTTCTGATCAACTAGATTATAACTTAGAGGATGAGGCCAAGAATATTAGTCCTAGTGACAGTGAGTTTGAAGAACCACTCAGAAGAGCTCATATCCGAAAATGTAGGCTTAAGGAGAAGAAATCAATGTATTCCAAGTTTGGCATTGATGAGACTAACAAAGAAAATTCAGACTATAAAAATAAGCCTCACAGTGTAGTGAAAAATGCTCAGAAAGCTATCTTGAAAGAGAGCAAACTTAATGCTGTTTCCTCATTAGGCTCTAGCTCGACTAGTTCCAGTATCACCAAAACTGTAATTCTCGAGTATAACCAGAATGTTACTTACAATAAGAGGAAAGAAAGATTTTTGATAAAAAAGAAGGCTCTTACTGAAGATATCCTGCCGGAAGTAAAGCCAAGAAGACGGAGTACTAGAATAGTCTCGAAGAAGAAGGTTAAGAAACAATCTCTCAAGATAGATCCATTGATTCTGATGACAGTACTTAAGCCATCTAAATGATACCCAGGATACTTTCTAGAGTCACTCATAGTTGGAGATGATCTCAAGTGATTTAATGAACGAGAGCCTGAAACAAGAAGGAGTAGTAGATCAAGATCAAATAAATATGAAAATCTCTGTGAGAATTCACTAACTCTAAATGCTCGGTGAAAAGCTCTGAATGCAAGACTCCCACTAACAAAGCGTCAGATAGCTCAGTATAATAAAAATCAGGGCTAAATAATTTTCAATAAAAAATTAGAATGGAGGGGTTTTGGGGTTTTGGGGTTTTGGGGTTTTGGGG